GAAGGTTGAAACTGGAGGTTGAAGTTTATATTCAGGTTGAAGATTGAAATTTGAAATTGAAGTTTATATTCAGGTTGAAGGTTGAAACTGGAGGTTGAAGTTTATATTCAGGTTGAAGATTGAAATTTGAAATTGAAGTTTATATTCAGGTTGAAGGTTGAAACTGGAGGTTGAAGTTTATATTCAGGTTGAAGATTGAAATTTGAAATTGAAGTTTATATTCAGGTTGAAGGTTGAAACTGGAGGTTGAAGTTCATATTCAAGTTGAAGGTTGAAACTGGAGGTTGAAGTTTATATTCAGGTTGAAGATTGAAATTTGAAATTGAAGTTTATATTCAGGTTGAAGGTTGAAACTGGAGGTTGAAGTTTATATTCAGGTTGAAGATTGAAATTTGAAATTGAAGTTTATATTCAGGTTGAAGGTTGAAACTGGAGGTTGAAGTTTATATTCAGGTTGAAGATTGAAATTTGAAATTGAAGTTTATATTCAGGTTGAAGGTTGAAACTGGAGGTTGAAGTTTATATTCAGGTTGAAGATTGAAATTTGAAATTGAAGTTTATATTCAGGTTGAAGGTTGAAACTGGAGGTTGAAGTTTATATTCAGGTTGAAGATTGAAATTTGAAATTGAAGTTTATATTCAGGTTGAAGGTTGAAACTGGAGGTTGAAGTTTATATTCAGGTTGAAGATTGAAATTTGAAATTGAAGTTTATATTCAGGTTGAAGGTTGAAACTGGAGGTTGAAGTTTATATTCAGGTTGAACATTGAAATTTGAGATTGAAGTTCATATTCAAGTTGAAGATTGACATTTGAGATTGAAGTTCGTATTCAGGCTGAAGGTTGAAACTTGAGGTTGAAGTTCGTATCCAGTTTGAAGGTTATAACACGAGGTTGAAGTTTGCATCCAGGTTGAAATTTATTAACGTGAATCCGAGGAATAGAAGAAATCTATAATAATTAAAAACACGAAAACTATAAATTAAAAAATGTACAAAACTCCGAAGTCATCCATCAATGTCCACGATATATTAATTCGAAACGTAGAAAGTTTCCCACACGAGATTTTCACAGGGACCGTGAAAACTAAGTAACGAGAACCGTGTCAGTGTGCCTCGAAGCCATTGCTATAATTTTACTACTATTGGAAAAGTATACTTTACTAAGCTTCGAATCATTTCGTTTCCTTCTTGATATTTTCTCCGCGTGCGTGAGTTTCGAAAACTTTCCCCGGACTTTCGATTTTCTTCGATCTTGCCTCGCGTGTTAGCGCTTATTAACTCGGTTCCATTACCCCCGATGGAACAATCGATGCATTATCATCCTTTCGAATATTTCGTTTCGAGAAAGGAAGCGTTCCTTTTCTTCGTCGAATGTTTCCTCCCACCACGGTTGAAAAACTAATAAGTGGTTGAATGACAGTGACAAGCACCCATTGAGGAAGCTGACGTATCAATGCAATAACCGGTAGATCTATTTCGTAGCGATGTTAATGGACAACATGAGTCATCTGTTCGTACTTGTACATCGTACGATCGTCGTTGCATTTTATGCAAGGTGAAAATTTTACCGATACGACAAAATTAACCTTTTAACCAATTTTGGTTATATTATCGGAAATCAAACAAAATTACCTGCATTATACGAGATTATCGATATTATTCGTGGTTCGATATTATTGTACGAAGTAACAGAACGTGTTATGCGGTAGTACAGTTAAATGGTTCGTATTAAAAAATGAAAAGTATGTATTCGATGGGTATTTATCAGTAGTGAATAAAGTAACTTTGTCGAAGAACGCATCTGCGTAATCGCGAGATACGATAATCGCTTGTATGCGTGCACATGACCAATCTTGTTCATCTTGCAGCTGTAGCAGGTGCAGCGGCGCCATTCAAGCTTAACTCGTTAATTCGTAGAAATCGGAAATATATTATCTCCGAAATGGTGCTTTCTTAAACCTGCAGGTAACCGAAATTAACGAATATTTCAAGGAAAATTCTATCGATAAAATGATCTACGACACCGGTTTATCGGTCGATACGGAAACATTTAATCACAAGAAATTCTTGTCCACCCAGAAGATTCGGCGATCTGCGAGTCGCTCGATTCCCGATATTTATAAACCGAATTAGCCGAGCGTAGCGTCGTTATTCACGAAAGGGACAGAGAGAGATTTAGGTTATTATTCCCATTCAATTTCCCCACAAATTTACCGTGATTAATCGGCCAACTGTTTAATTCCTAAATGTTGCAAAGATACGAAATTCAACGGTGTTCGTTGCAGTGGACCAATTAATAAACGGCATCCACGCGTATTCAACAATTTATACGCGGTTTACGAACATTCGTTGACCTTTGAACCGAGAGATCGAACCAGAAATTATTTATAAGCTATTTCTCTCAGTCTGCTAAATGTGCATTTAGACTAGGTATTTGATTGATGTTATAGAATATATGAGTATAGAGATTTAGACTGTCTGAGATTTAAGTTTATTCGAATTCTATGGCGTGGAGATTTTAGGATGTTTGCAAGTAAATATATCTATGTGTTCAAGGATGCGTATACAAATTTAATAGTGTGGGCATTTATTAATACGAGAACATGCATTTATTAATATATACAACAAAAGTATAGGATGTACAGAGCGTCTCACAAGTAGTGCAGCTTCACGGACCAATCAGAGCGCCAGGATTACGCGGCTCAGCCAATATATAGTGTTTTTAAGTAAAAGCTATGTTCGTAAGGATTAGATATACAGGGTGTCTAACAATTAGTGTAGCGCTTAGCTCGCGTAATCCTCGCGCTGTGATTGGTCCGTGTTTTTCCTTAATAATTCAGAAACGAAGCTTCACCCTCAATTTTTGCAAAGGGAAATCTCATTCAGAATCACGTCAGCTACCCCCCATTTCAGGGACCTACTAATTGTGAGACAACCTGTATAACCCTGTATAATGAGTGAATGTTTTAAAATGAAACGCGTGGGCGAACGAACTCTGTCGAGCAAAAGGCAAGAAACATTGTTGAAACGCGAAGGTAAGGGCTGCAAAGGTGAACGACAGGAAGACTACACCCTTTTGCAGGGTAGTTAAAAATGTTAAGGGGGTGAGGATATCGATATAACTTACATGTATACTTTCTAGTCCTTATTCGTTTATTTAAAATGACTCTACAAGCTTCTTATTATAAAGAACACATTTTATTAAAATACATTTCTAGAAATCAGAATTGATTCTCATCAGGATGAAGAATAAATCTGTGTACTAATTTATGTTTCTTCGTTTGTTTATCTATTTTTTAACTTCATTTTTAATTTCAAATTAAGTACTCATTTCCCTATTTACATTTCTTGAAATCAAAATTGATTTTCATCAAGATAAAGAATAAATCCGTGTACTAATTTATGTTTCTTCGTTTGTTTATCGATTTTTTAACTTCATTTTTAATTTCAAATTAAGTACTCATTTCCCTATGTACATTCCTTGAAATCAGAATCGATTCTCATCAACATAAAGAATAAATGTGTGTACTAATTTATGTTCTGTCCTTTGTTCGTCCATTTCTTAACTTCATTTTTAATTTCAAATTAAGTACACATTATATGCCGGTTTAGTGTTAATAACAGATCGGAACGAAAATTTGCAAAAGTATCGTGCAACAAAAATAAATTGAACGGAGTTTTCTAATAGAGAGCGTATAGTGTATTGTATGTTACACGACGTAGCACCTGTATTTGAAGAAGTCTCGAAAAGGTAAAAAACGCTGTCCACGTTGAACGGTGGGTTCTGTCAACGCCCTTAGCCGACACTCGACCGACAGCAATTGATAAGCAGTCGGCGAAATTTCAGCGTGCTCCGTTCTCGGAAACATTCTCTTCACGATCCTCGCCAAGTATGCGCCACGAAGTGCCCACTTGCCCATAGCGATGTGTACAATCCTGTAAAGACAACCTGCAATTTTAACCGATCACTCTGAAAAATAAAATCCGGTTAGAAAAGTTTCGCGTTGCAAAGAAGTTATAATTGCGTGTAAAAAATGATCGTGCTGCGGGAAATTTCTACTATTTTCCAGATATTGATTTTTCCTTGGGCTCCAAAACGAGGCTACCTCCCATTTCGTGGGTGTATTAAACGTGTCGCAGAGTTTCGAAATAAAATTACTGAAATTGTTTGTTCGAACTGGCCGGGCAAAAAATTTCACGGCGCAATTTAAAGCTTCTCGTGCGGATATTCGTACTTTGTGAATCCGTATGCACTTCGCCCGTAAAAAGTCACGAGTAGGATCAGTTTGACCTCGTATGAGAGCCAGCGCAAACGTGAAGCAGTTTCATGCTTCATTTCCACGGCACAGAGAGGAAAAAAACGCATTTTAAATAAGAAATGCCTTCCCCTTTTTTGCGAACTGAACGAAAGGGCGTATTCACGATATTACCGCAAAAATTTCAATGATCTGTATTATAAAAACGTAACACGTGAACGTGCGTTATACCGAGAAGTACGATCATAAATTTCTAGATCTTTGTGTGCATAGATTTCTGTATCTCGGTGCTTTTAGCAGTAAATAATTTCTTTAGTCTTTTCATGCGAAATCTACGATTCGATACATGACACAGTTTGAATAGCTCATGTACGCGGAGCCTAGTTTCTTAAAATTGTATATTCAGCAGCAACAAGTTCTTTATCGATTTATTAACTCGCGACTCCGTTTCCAAGATTCGATGATTAAATTTGGACACTCGAATTTAACACTTTGTTGCTGTTTTGTCATCATTATTATTTCGTTATTGCGTCATTAGTTATTATATACTTATTTGTCATTTTTTGGCACGTGAGCAGAAAAAGATTTGCCGCTGTCATTATAGAGTGTCCCAGTTGTGAAAATCGGCTTATATTCGCACACGCGTGGCTAAGTTCGCGGTATGTCCACCGCGAGGCGCCAGCGCGTTTCCAACGCGACCGTTTACTCCAAGTTCGTGAGTCGCACGTCGGCCGTCGCGCGGGGTGGATCGTTACAAAACTCTCTCGTCAACCGATCCGGCCAAATTGTACGATTCTGTTTATTTTTCGTATAGAACGTGCTCGTAGTTTAATCGTTATTTTTAACGAATACTCGTGCCGGTTATTCGCAACCTCGCCCGTCGTGTGATCGTTGTTGACTGTTGTTTACAACAAAATTTTATCAGTGTTAAATAAAGAAGTTTCGTTCGGGACTGATAAGCAAAGTGTTACCGACAGTCATCTGCATGGAAAGAATCAACTGTTATCATAGTTTTTTTACTTGTTACGTATTGTTCGATATCGATCAGTGATATAATATATCGATCGTGGATCGAAGGATACTCGCTTTTCTGGTTCGAGGTCGTTGAACCGGTGGGATCTTCGATCTTGAGCGTTGATAGTTTTATCCGACAAAGAGCTTCGGTTATTCGTGACGCGAGTGATCGTTCGCGAAAGAATTGAACGTCAATGTCATCCTCGGAACTGATGCATTTTATCGCTACAGCGTGTAACGCGTGGCGTCTTAAAGTGTGGTTAGGCTGCTCCTGAAGGTGTATCTGCGGTGCAGATATCGAAAGAAGGAAGTTAAGCGTGTAACGAATTCTTCCACTGGTTTCTGGAGTTCGGCGACGCAATTGGCGCCAATGATGATTTTCACCGGCAGGTCAGTGGACGCTCTCGATGAAGTTCACGGTAGCAACGTTCAGACGGATAACCGTCGCGACGTGAGCGCCATCGCCATAGCCGCAGGATGGTTCTCCAGTCTGCGCAGACCCGGTAAAAGGAACAAGAAGGGCTATCAAAAGCAGGCCAAGAGCGCATGGGACCTTAGCACATTATCTACGGTTAGTTGAATGTTCTGTCTGGATGCACTTATATCTCCGTAACGATTGTTCGGAGGAATTCAATTTTTTTTCTTTTTTTTCAATTTATAAAAAATATTTTTCTCTTTTTTTCGATTTACAATTTATATTACATTTATTTTAATATCTTTAGTAGGTGTAGGTTCACGAATTTTCTATTTAATACTTTCGATATTAAATATTTTTGACAAATGACACATGCGCATGCGCGGCACAATCTACGTATGATTAATTATTTGCGAAAAAATATTTATTTCTTTTTAAATCGTATACATCTATATACTTGGAATTCAATTGCAACATGCAATGTACAACAACTTTGGTACAAGGATTCTATATTCTTCGATGCATTTAATTCATTCATTGTCAAATGCTTCTCGCGAATAACTACTGCGCATGCACCATTCCGCCATAATACAATGAATTCGTTTCAAAATATTTACGTCTGTACATCTTTCTGTTCATCTATTTTCTTATAATACAAGTTTATATCGTGATCGTTCATATGTATTTAGAATTCAATTAGAGCATACACTGTATCACACTTTTGATTTATTACGGTGTTGTTTAATGCACCGAAGCATTACTCGATGCTAAATACTTATGCGCATGCGTGATGTTGTCAAATTGAAATCACAGATTGACTGACACGTGTCATTCATTTGTTAAATTTATCCACCTTATCGAAATTATGCGAATTATCTCTGCATTAAACTTTTACATAATCGACTTAGAGCTAAAGACATTTTATTTGCATGCACGCTCGTTACATAAATAAATCGCGGACACCTGCGATTCAGAAGGGTTATGTTTCATGTAACGCGTCCTCGGAAGCTGAAACTTTCCGAGTGGTTTGCGTTTACAATTGGCCGTTAAAAAGTCGCGCGTCTATTTTCGAACCGTAAATGCTCGTGTTGATGCTTGACGCATATCGCGGCGCTATGTTGTGAAACATTATACGTGCACAGAACGTAGTCGAACGGTGATCAGTCAGTAATGTCAACATCGCTTCTTCCCAACTTATTTCCTCGCTTACTTGCAGTCTTTGCACGTATAGGCGTACGACACATGTCCGTCAGGGTTCGAGTTCCATCGATCAGAAACAATTACCGTGGAGTCTCGCTATATGGCCGTGGCTGTAGGGGTGAGACAATCTGTGAAATTTAATATGTAAACAAAAAATTTACGAGTGTAAATGAAAACTTTTGCGAGTGTTAACAAAGTCTTAATGTTGGTGCTCGAGTTCTAAATTTATATTTTGGGCGGGAACGCACAATTGGAGAGGTCGGACGTTCAAGGTACGCGAGTCTCGAGCCTATTACCGTGATAAAAATTAGATTCGAGAATGCTGCGGTTTGTAGAGAGGTGCTTCCGGCGATGGTGGAACGCGATTGGTCGAACGTGATCTCGACAATTGGTAATTGAAAAGTGGCCAAAAGGCGCTTCGTAAATAAATTAAGGGCGGGGAAACGGTGTAAAATAACAGTACAGGTGGCGCTCGGAAGTTGGCTGACTAGCCAAAATTAATTCTAGGGAGTTCACACTTCCATGGTCGGTAATTCCTTCCTGTACAACCGAAGTTGAAACTCTCGACCGGCGTGCTCAATTTTACACGAAATTAGGCTTTCATGGTAAACCGGGAAGCATAAATATTATTATGTTGTAATAATTAATTTCTGAAAAAATTGTTTTCTTTTACTTCGGTACCGAACGTTTTAAAATTTGTTAACTGGTATAGACGCATCAAATCAATGGTGTAAACGAAAGGAGTTACTAGTTCCTAAAATAAAACATTACAGGTTGCGGAAAGACGCGGCACTGCGTCAGCGACTGCGAACGCGTAGCACCAAAACACAGTTGTTTTCGTTTCCGTGAAAGCGAGTTTAATTCAACTTCATTTATTTCCCTTTTGGTGCAGAGCTTCTATAATATTCAAAATATAAGGACTTTAAAATTAGAATTTTCGTAGATGTTTACGGTCCTTGACACTTTCGACTACCAATCCAGTACGTCCTATTCAAAATCATTGACGCAGCCGGTGCGTCTTACCCTTCAAAATTGATGACACATCGCGCGCGCTTTGTAATGTAATTGATGTTACAAAATCGGGTTTTCCAATTACACAAGACAGCGGTATTATGAAAGGTTAGGATATATAAATATTAGAAACTGAATATTTTACTTGGAACACGTTGATTTGTATCGTTGATCGAGGCAATAACTCACCATTGGAGTGAAATCACGGAAAGTCAAACTTATCGCGTTCTGAATCACTGTTTCTACTTGTAAACAACGTACCTATAGTTTAATGTGTCATTTCCAGTGTGAAACGCATGATTTATCTGCGTAATAGCGAAAGCGACTAGCAATCGTGTTAAAAAAAAAAACTGAAAGCAGACTGTGTAAAAGCAATTTGAATCGATCGTTCGCATCTTTTTTATCTTCGTGCTTATGTCGTTTAATGTGCCAGATACGTGGACTGTGTAAACGTTTATTTGCAGCGAAAGAAATAGATGTTTCATGTATTCTTCAACCATTTCAGCAATAATTGCACTACGAGCAATTTCATACAGTTTCGCGTGCTCGAAATCTTTTTTCTTTTTCAAAACAAACCTATCGCTTAAAATATTTTCGAACAATTCAAGAAAAATATTTACGCATAATTTTTAATACAGCGAACACGTGTTATGTATTATTGTGCGAAACGATTCAATCGTTAATAATAAAGTCATGCTTCGCATTCCTGCACGAAAATATCGTTCGATGACGTACGTGACGTCACGAATCGAAGATCGAAACGAACAGTCGGAGAGAATTTATTTATAGAGAGAATCAGGATACAAAACGAAGATTATACAGACGTCCATTTGGTGCAGTTTACTTCTTAACGACTTCCCAAGAAATTCAATAGAAAAATATACGAGCAATAAGTACACAATTAACTCAAGCATTTTCATGGAATAGCCAAGGTAGACGCAGCTGATGCGTCATCACTTTTATTAGATTGTGAGGACGCATATGGTGCGTCGACGGTTTTGTTAGATAGTGAGGACGCACATGGTGCGTCAAAGGTTTTATTAGTTAGTGAGGACGCATCTGGTGCGTCGACAGTTATGTAAGATAGTGAGGACGCACATTGTGTGTCAAAGGTTTTAGTAGACAGTGAAGACGCATGTGGTGCGTCGACGGTTGTGAGAGATAGTAAGGACGCACATGGTGCGTCAAAGGTTTTATTAGATAGTGAGGACTCACATGGTGTATCGACGGTTATGTGAGATTGTAAGGACGCACATGGTGCGTCAAAGGTTTTATTAGATAGTGAGGACGCACGTGGTGCGTCGACGGTTGTGTGAGATAGTGAGGACTCACATGGTGCATCAAAGGCTTTATTTGATAGTGAGGACGCACACGGTGCGTCGACGATTGTGTGAGATAGTGAGGACTCACATGGTGTGTCAAAGGTCTTATTAGATAGTGAGGACTCACATGATGCGTCAAAGGTTTTATTAGATAGTGAGGACGCACATGATGCGTCAAAGGTTTTATTAGATAGTGAGGACGCACACGATGCGTCCTTACAGAACACGTAAGACGCTCAGGACGCTTAGGTAGTTCGATATCGAAGAATATCCGATTGCAATATAACGAGAGGTTGTAATCCAAGTCGACTGCCCCGAATACAGGGCACTTGCCTCGAACGAAGAATCATTATTCATTCGAATTGTAAAAGGAAATTCTCCATTAATGGGTTGATCGATTTATCAACATTGTCGTATCGGTAGCACGTGGTGACGCGGTTGCATCGTTACACTTTGTCAGATTAGTTATTCGAGTTTGCCGGTGGTTCGTGCAATATTTTTAGGTTAATGGGGTAGTAGAGTGGTCGGTGATGCGAGCACAAAGAACGGGAACGCGGTGATCATTTCAAAGGAAACAGAAGAACAAATTTTTTTCCCTCCGCGGATCGCACACGGATCGATAGAACCGTCGCATTTAAACCGTGCTGCGTGATGGTTCAAGTATCCCACCAACCATCGTAAATCGTCTGGCGATGGTATAAAAGTGTGTCGATCGGTTTCCGCGTTTCGCCGCATCGTCTGCCATTTTTACATAAATTACGTTTCGCGCTCGAGCACCGGTTATTATTGTCTTCAAATACAAATATTTCCGCGGAGAAAACGCCCCGTCTTTCATAATGCGCCTCGATGCTTTCGCGGCTTTCGTTCTATTCCATATTTTACAGATTGAAGTATTCTCCTCCGTGATAGGCCGTGTTCTATTCACAGAAATATTTCCAGTATTTTTCTCGTTTACTTTTTTGGCGCTCACAAAGAAAAATTTCAAAAGCTTTCCACTCTCAGCTGACTTTTGCGTACTTCTGTGTTATCAAATCGCCCACCTGCTTTTGTGCGTGCTCGTAATTACATTTTCGACCTAAACAATTCGAGATACGAGTTTTCAGTATTCTGAATCAACAAGTATATCGTCAACGATGACTCATGCGTCGAAAGATTCATGATCTTGAATCGACAAACATCGATTGATAGCGTAAAATCAGTTCAAGATTACTCTAGAATATTGTAATACTTCTATCTCGTTCGACAAACACCTTTCCGACGCGATGTCACCGTTCCAACAACCTCGATTGTACAGTTATTTACAATCGCAATCTTTAGCATCGTCCGTTTGACGTCAACAGCTCCTCGAAGATTTGATCGTCTTTCCATCAGCGATTACATAACTTCGTCCATCGAGGTCATTGTCATTGCTAGAATTCACTTGACCCTTTTACACAGCATCTTGCGAGATTGCAGGACATATCAAAGGACCTTTGGAACTGTACAGAGTTCAGAGTTTTGGTCAGAACTTAGGATGTGGGTTGAGATCTTGAGAGATCCTAAGATGTAGAATGATCTTCGGACCTAAAGATGTCTAGGATCTGTGGAGTCTGAGAAAGTTTAGGATTTAGATGGTGTTCATAT